CGCCCACATGTTGCGCGGACTGTTAGAGACTTCTGTTCAGCACAACGCATGCAACTTCTTCCTTGGCCTGCTTATTCGCCGGATATGTCGCCTATTGAGCACGTGTGGGATATGGTTGGTCGGCGTCTCACTCGTGATCCGCGTCCTGCAGTTTCCAAAGACGAACTTTGGTTGCGCATACAAGCGATATGGAATTCTCTTCCTCAAGCAGATATTCAACATCTGTTTGACTCCATGCCACGTCGTATAGCAGCACTTATTGCAGCGCGTGGTGGCTGCACCAAATACTGATTTCGGACGCTTAATTTGTTTCTTTTGTTTTGAAAATTTCATCATTTATTTGTATCAGTACAAGTCGTTTCTGCATTAAATTTCATTTGATTCTGATGATTCTTTCATGGTGTTGCATTTTCTACAAACAGCAGTTTATGTGCGCAGACTTGCAATGTAATGAAAATGTTAGATAGATAATAAGTTATAAGATGAGTTACTGAGGAAAATAAGTTCTTAATATTTGAACGAAAAATACTAAGAAAAATTTTTGGCGCTATGAAGGAAAATAACGTCTGGAGAATCCGTTATGACAACGAACTTTACTTCAAATTCAGAGAACCAGATATAGTGAAAACTGTAAAGGTATATCAATTTAGTTGGATTGGGCACAACTACAGATACAATAAATTTAAACTTAACAAATAAAAAATGATATTTAAAAAATGTGAAAGAAAAAAGTTGCCAAAAAGTTCGATACAGTTGAGAAAACGTAACCTGAAATTAGGGTCAACGGCTGGAGAACTGTAGCAGCGGATAATTCCAGATGGTTAGAAAATTTTTAAGACAGCGTTGGCCTGAAGCTGGCTGTGGAACTACAGAAGAAGTTCGATTTTGATACAAATATTCTTTTATTTTATACATTTTACCAGCAGATTATTATTTGACTTTTTTTAAAAAAATACTCACTCATTACATAGTAGTATCTGTTTCAGAAAAACGAGTTATAATGCTAGGGTTGATCAGATTCTTCAATGGTTGGAACTCCCTCCTGCTAATCGACCTAGTTTCTTGACGCTTTATGTAAATCAGCCTGATAATGCTGGACACCGCAATGGGCCGGATTCAAAAGAAGTGAGAAGCCACAGTTAATATTTACTTTTTAATTCAGTTTTGTAATTAAAACAAATTAGAATTCTTCATCAATGTTTCCAATACAATTTTCTTTATTAACATTATATATTGAACTTATTTAATAAAATTTTTTCTACAGTTTTGCAAATAATACATACATTCAACGCAATAGGTAGTTACAATTACTTCGAGTTAGAATTTTGTATGCAAAATGCTGTTTATTTCAATCATGGTAAAGTTAAATTTACACTAGTAAACATAACTCAAATGTGGGTTAGTTCCATCAAAAAGGCCTCCACAAAAGCTAGTTTGTCCCAATGCTTGAGCCCGGAGTTTTCTTATCTTATGCTTTGGATTCAAAATTACAAGATTACGGAGTTGAAAATTAATAGTCTTGTAAATTTAGAATGAGGTTAACTGTTTAACGCCGTTATTAAAAATAAATACTTGATCTTGCCTAATTTGGGTGCGGGGATTTCAAATCTAAAATTAGTTTTTCTCCTAAAGCTACCTATACATTTTTAGTCTATTAATAAGGGGGGGGGGCATAAATGAAGTGACAAACTTCCAGGGTACATCATCAGGGTTAAAACTGCATGATAGGAACCCATGTCCAGAAATGTCGTCGTATGCGAATAGGGGTGTAATTTTTTTATCTGTAGCAAGTTCGAAATTGGTTGTAAATTTAAATTTGTCCACTCTGCGTACTTGAAAACCTAAGACCACATCTAGTTTTGAAGTAATTGGATTATATTAATGACTTATGAAGCGTAACACTCTTATTGAAAAATAAAATTTTAGTAAAATTCGTTATAATTTTGTAATATAATCTAGTTCATGTTACCGGTTTCAAAACGTTCAGTTAGTAAAATGAACAAAACATGTTTAAAAATGTCGTCGTACGCGACTAGGAGTGATATTATTTATTACGAAACCAGTTGTAAATTTAAATTTGTCCACACTGTGGACTTGAATATGATTATAAAAATCTACAATCAATTCTAGTTTTGAAGTAAGTGGATTATATTAACGTATAATCTTGTTTATAGTACCCGTTTCAAAAAGCTCAGTAGGCAAAACGATCAAAAAATGCTTTTAAGTGATATATTAGTAATATTGATAGATTCATCATCGCTAAAACATGAATATAAATCACAACTTCAAAAAAAAAAAAAGTAAATAAATAAATTTCACAGCAGTATATTTGTGCATGACATTGTTAAGGGTCTTTTATTGGTGTTTAATCTAGTGAAATTGCATTAAACTATAAATGATCCTAGATCTACATGGTTGTTTCAATGATCTGTGTAATCTATTTCGTTCAGATAAAATTTTCACTTTTTCCTGGAAAGGACACTTTTATTATTGGAAAAAAAATACAACAACTTACACTTTATCCTACCCAATAGAAGAAACTGTATTGAATGTGTAATATCTGAACACTATAGAATAAATATGGTGTTTCGTAATCACCACCCTTAATGTACGTTTTAAGTATCCTTGTTTAAAATTTAAACAAAAGCATTTACACATTAGAAGTCGTTAATTAATATTTAAGCGAAGGAAATAAAAAAGTTAATTGAAACGTGAATTATTCACTTGGAAGCCTTGATTAAAAACACCGAAACCAGTTTGAAGACAGGTTTTAGTGCTTTTAACTACGTCTATCACCCTAAGCATAACATCAAGTTTACTATAATATAATAATATATATTTTTACTTTCCTTATCAGAAGAATGTACACAAATTAAATGTACCGAATATATAGTTAAGTGTAGACCAGAAAATCGTCATCAACACCTGATGAATCATTAACGAATTAGGTGGGATTAAGGAAACCAAGACTTGGAACAGAAGGAAACTGAGCGGTGGTGAAAGTAATTATTGGAAACACCTTTAAGGTTCATTCGGCAATCAAATTGGTTTTCACTTTTTTTTATTTTATTCTGCCTTCTACGTTAATGATTCCTCAAATTTCGATAACGTTTTTAATTCCCGCTTGCCTAAATAATAATTGTAAAGAATGTACATTAAGGGCTGTAATTAAACTGCTGTTTGTAGAAAATGCAACACCATGAAGGAATCATCAGAATCAAATGAAATATTATTTTAATAATGGATATAGGATATTATGCAAATTAATAAAGTTTCAGAGCCATCGCGCGTGCGTGGCGCGCGCAGCGCCCTCTGAATTGATGCTGAAAGCGTATAAATAAAGTGCTGTAGCGGGACGTTGAAAATAGTCTATGATTATTTGTTAGTGGCAAACGTTTAGTGAGACCTGAGTATGCCTCCACGACGGAAGAATAAGAAATTCAAGCAACTTACGGAGTTTGAACGAGGGAGGATAATCGGCCTTCGAGAAGGAGGATTTTCCTATCGCGCAATAGCAGCTCGTATGCAGCGGAACAGTTCCACAGTGATGCGAGTTTGGAAGCAGTGGACCGACGAGCACCGAACAACTCGAAAAACAGGCACTGGACGACAGAAGGTGACGTCAGAGCGCGATGATCGACACCTGCTCCGCATGGCGGTGAATGATCGCACAGCTTCCTCCAGGCAGCTGGCAGCACATTGGTCTACTGCTACAGGTGTACAATTGTCGGCTTCGTCAATTCGTCGTCGTCTGCTGCGCCGTGGATTGCGTGCAAGGGTGCCATTATACAGGATTCCCCTCACGGCGGATCATCGACGGCTGCGTCGGCAGTGGGCTCTTGAGCACAGAGACTGGCGAGCTGATTGGCACCAAGTTGTCTTTTCAGATGAATCACGCTTCAATTTGTGGACCCATGATGGCCGTGTTCGTGTTAGACGTTATGCCGGTCAACGCTGCCTTCCTGAGTGTATTATTGAACGACATAGTGGTCGAACACCCGGAGTTATGGTCTGGGGTGCGATTTCGTATCATGGACGATCCAATTTGATACGAATTGAGGGTAATCTCAATAGCAACAGATACGTCCGTGAAGTGCTACAGCCCGAAGTCGTTCCTTTCCTTCAAGGCATCCCTGGAGCTATCTTTCAGCAGGATAATGCACGCCCACATGTTGCGCGGACTGTTAGAGACTTCTGTTCAGCACAACGCATGCAACTTCTTCCTTGGCCTGCTTATTCGCCGGATATGTCGCCTATTGAGCACGTGTGGGATATGGTTGGTCGGCGTCTCACTCGTGATCCGCGTCCTGCAGTTTCCAAAGACGAACTTTGGTTGCGCATACAAGCGATATGGAATTCTCTTCCTCAAGCAGATATTCAACATCTGTTTGACTCCATGCCACGTCGTATAGCAGCACTTATTGCAGCGCGTGGTGGCTGCACCAAATACTGATTTCGGACGCTTAATTTGTTTCTTTTGTTTTGAAAATTTCATCATTTATTTGTATCAGTACAAGTCGTTTCTGCATTAAATTTCATTTGATTCTGATGATTCTTTCATGGTGTTGCATTTTCTACAAACAGCAGTTTATGAAACATCGTGTATTTACTAATTGAATACTTATTTTTTTACCCCTTTTATATACAGGTAAATCAAGCAGTGAGAGGTGTTGATCAAATGATTGAAAGGCTCTTTGCTGGTTTGCAGTCCAAAAACCTGTTGAATTGTGTCAATGTCATCATTTTGTCTGATCACGGTATATGAGAAAGAACAGATATTTTTCGCTGCTTTTTTGTTTGATTTTTTTTTACTTAATCTTAATTTTTTTTTTTATCTAGGTATGTCTAGCACTGACTGTAAGCTCGTTGTTAACGTTGAAAATTATGTTAATGTTTCGAATATCTTTTCAACTATGGGTCCTTTTGGCAGAGTGCGTCCCAAAGGCAGAAGAGATGCAAGTAAATACTTTTTCAGATTTTCATTGCATTACTTATTTTTTTTTATTATATTGATGATACATAATACAAATTAGGTTGACTTTAAGCAGTAACATATGAATGTATAAAATGAAAATATACTCATATTTTTATTTAATTAGTAATATGTGATACCTAGACTTAAAATGCGGCAACGAGCGTTTCGTCATGTGGTTTTTCAAATACAAATAAACGTTTAAGAATTAAAAAAATACATAAGTCAATGCACTGGTCCTTGTTGGAAATGTTTTTTTTTTATTGAAAACAGTATGATTACCAGCTAAAGCCTTTAAGCGATCCTAATAGTCGCTTTACACCTCCTGTTAATTTTCTTCGGCAACCGAACAGGCTTCGATGTTTTGTTCTTTTCTTTCCTTGTTAATGAATCATCATGTAAACCCCCTACTTCCGGAGTTTTACCTTTTTCTACAGGAGATAAGCACCCCGGTTCAGATCAACACCTCCTAGAAAAGAGTAGGCCTCTGCACGGGTTACCATAAATATCCTTTAGTAGTCCAAACGTAATGACATATTTCGTATTTTCAACCACTGCGCAGCTTAGTACCCCGAACGTAATGACATCTTTCTTATTTTTCATCAACTGCGCAGTTAACTTCGTCACATCGGACTACTAATTTGATCCGTGCTGAGGCCTTCATTATTCTAGGAGGTGTTGTTCAGATGCCCCGAAAAACAATGCAGTTCCAGTTTTTAATGATTTGTCAGGTTTTAATAACTCTACTGCATTAAACTTTGTAAACATACTTATAATTATTAGAAAAGTATATTGAATCCCAATTTCCTAGAGAATTTCTAGTTTTTAAACTCTAGAGATAGATTTTATATTTATCGCTTTTAGATAGATCGTCATGATTGTGTGCGTTTGATTAAAAATTCGCTTCTAAGCCCTTTCTAGTTTAAAAATATCGCAAATGATATTAAGCACCCCAAATAAGGAAATTAAAAACATCCTTGATTCGAACAAGCTTTTTCTTAGACTATAAAGTAATTGGTGACCATGGAGTTTAACATAATATTTTATTTATTTTATTTTAAAAAGTTTGAATTTCTAATGATTGAAGATGTAGCGTATCTACCACTACAAAATTACAACTACAATTCACTAGTATATAAGACATGTTAACTCGATTCAATGATGGGGTACCTTTTCATAGATGAAGGTTGACATGGTCGATATCTACTATTCCCACATTGGTGACCTTCGGACGTGATGTGAACACGCCTACCTAGACAGTAACGCCTACTTCGATGGATGATCCACATTAAAAAACAGTTGACTTGCTACTTGTGTCTGCGACTTTATCCATCTCCTCGCACTGTTGCTATTCAGTCTCTTCTCAAACACCCACAACGCCGGCTTGCATACACTCGACTGCTAAAGGCAACACAGGAGCGACTACGACCGTGAAGTTAATACACCTCTCACATTCAGCACTCATAAAGTACGGTGATCTTAATACAGCTCTCCCGGTTTCGCACAAAAACAGCAATGATTCAACTAGTGGTATCCATTCATCGAATTCTATCACAGATATAATTCTGGTGGGGGAGTACTGTAGCGTATCTACCACTACAAAATTACAACTACAATTCACTAGTATATAAGACATGTTAACTCGACTCTATGTTTGGGTACCTTTTCGTAGATGACGGTTGACATGGTCTGTAACACCGCCCCCCACAGAAGATTGAAACTTATGATGTTTAATCATGTTCATACCCTAATCATATGTTTTAAAGTTTCACAAGGCATGTTGAACTTTTAACTATTTCAGATGTGTTAAATAGTTTGATAAAGAAAATGCAGTGCCAGAGTCAGCATATGAGAGTTTATCCCAAAGAGCAACTCCCAGTCAGATGGCACTATGCAGACAGTGACAGAATCGAACCCATCTTCTTGGATATGGACTCCCGCTGGACTGTTGTCAGGTGAATGTCTTTAATTATAGCTCTGACCATTTTTTATTAGCAGCTGCATGTTTTGAAAGAAAGGTACTAATCGTAGTATCCCTCTAAAAATATATTTATTTTGCTTTGCCTCTCTTTTTACTCATAAAGATGCAACAGATATTTGTCCCGCAGTGAACTGATCGGGCTGGGATAGCCTGGTCGATAGGACGCTGGACCCATGTCCGAGAGTTCGTGGGTTCGAACTCCGCCGGCCGAAGACTCCCCGTGTAGTAAAGTGACTTATGCACGTTAAATCTGTCGAGTCGCAAAAGTCCTCCATGTTCCCATAACAAATCAATACCTCTGGGGGTACTAGATTGGAGATCGATCGTTCTGTGATTCAGGTCAAAATTACGATCTATGGATGAATGAATGGGTCCGCCCTATAAACGGGTGTGACGTATGATGCGGCAGAAGTCGAATTCTTGACCATAGAGGGCGCCACTGGAAAAACAAGAACAATCGCATCCCCTCTGCCTAAACAGGCATACGTCAACAACAACACAACAGTGGACTGACCGTAAAGACACGGTTCCCAGTGGAACACCGAAATCAAGCATCACTGGCTGCCGTCAGTAAGAGAGTAGGTGACCACTTTGCCTGCGTAGGGACTGAGGGTGCGTGGTATCGGTCCTCGTTAAACTGTTCTACCGTAAAGTGCTCGACTTCGCACGCAGGTCGTCGGGCTACCAAAGCAGAAGAGCCATCCCCTCTTCAGTGGATCAAATTGCGATAGCATGTCTTCGGATCATCCTCTGGGATGTTTCCCAGACCGTCACCAATAGCCCATTGTGCAGCTCTAGTGCAACGCAATGAAAGTACCTACCTACCTGGAAATCATCAGATTAATTTACATGAAAAGAAAACGCATAAAAATATTGTGATAAGGATAAATAAAATTTGAGGATTTTTTTTTACTTACAGTCGATAGTGTACAATATTAGACTATATCTGATAGGGCTAAGAGGCATAGTAGGCCACTGTGCACTGTTTGCATTTCTGTACTCTGATTTAAATTTTTAAGAAAATTTTACTCTTTATTTACAATTTTTTTATTCTTTTTATAAATATAAAAAATATAAAAAATTTTTATAAATGTAAAAAAATATTAAAAGAAATAAAAATTGTTATTAAATATTCCTGAACAATATGTACACATCTAAAAAGTATTTGATAATAAAATTAAATCCTCTATAAAGTTATCTAAATATTTTTGCCAACGTCTTACTTTAAATGTGTAGCACATTAAAACTTCTAGGTCTTAAAAAATCTTAAATTTAAATTTTTTTAAAAATATAATATCTTTGGACTATGCCTTACATTCGATGTGTATATTTGGCCACATTTTTATGTCCGCAATTTTAATATTCAAACACAATTAAAATTTATGTTTTGAAAAATTCATGAGTTAATTTAAATGATTGAAACATATTTGTGAATATTGGACTGAATTGTTAATGATTTATAAAGTGTGCTGTCTCTGTGTTTGCAAAATTGCTTTTTATATTGCAATAATATTTGTTAATAGTTTATTATTTATTCTGTTATTTTCTTTGTTTTTATATGGATTAAAAATTCAAAACAGTATTTTAATTTGCCTAAACTCCCTGTGTTTGATAGCTTTCTTACATTGGTTTGCAATATTTTGTCAACATTTATTATGTTATCATAACAGTGTGTATTATTTTTATTTATAGTCGGAGCGCAAAATCTGGAGATGACATTTGTAGCGGTGGTGCTCATGGATACGATAATTATTATACTGATATGAGAGTAAGATTATTATTTGGCAGCTGTTTTTTGTGTCTGATAGCATGTGGTGCACATGCTTAATTTAAATTGTGATAACACACCAACTGAGATTTAAATAATTATAGTAAATCTACACAACACAATTCTAAGGTTTGCATTCGAACTTTGTATCCAGTTCTGCGCATGCGCATTGTTCAGAGTTGATTTAAGTATTCTTTACCCAACAAGCAATGTCGATAGATTAGGAAAAAAAATCAGCTTAGAATATAGCTAGCAATGGTCAGCACGCATCCTAAACGAGTTATTATAATCTGGTTATTATATATACATTATATATGCATATACAATGTATGTCGTATGCATATACATTGTATATGCATATACATATACCAATGTCGCTGACCAGCCCTCGAAACTACTTGCAGCAATACATTAAACCCGTTTCATCTGCTCTCAAAATATATATTTAAGTATTCAAAATAAAATTGAAACTTCATATATAAATATTTAGAAACCGAAAATGGAGATTAAGATCGAAAGAGAATTATTTCGATTTCTTTTAAAATAATTTATTCTTTTTATTCCCCGCATTAAATCGGTTTAAATTATTAAGAACAATTTGAAAGAAAATAAAATTGAAAAATATATAAGTTATGAATTAAAAATGAAAATTCCATTCGAAATCTGTTAAATTTGATGTTTTAATTTTATCCCTACCGTAAGTGCGTTTAAATTATCAATTTCAACCAGTAATAAATGACGCATGTATGTTTAAGAATTCAAATTTAAAAATAATTTCTTGCAAATAAATATAAACACCTACAAAATCGTAAGATACAATAGAGCCCGAAGTTACACATTCGTTAATTCGACGAGAGGGTAAAAAAAATGCGGTTGCAATTTAGAATTTTAGAAATCTCTTTATATTAGTTTATACAAATATTAACATGAAGTTCTCTAATTAAAACATTTCAAATATTTTTTTTTATAATTGAAGGCAGATTGCTTGATTCTTAACTTATAAAAAATTAGAAAATTACAACTTTTTGTTAGAATTTCAGACTTTTATAAAAAACAAAAAATTTTTAAGTTTTCTGCTTGAATAATTTTAACTACAAAAATTACTTGTCTTATTGAAAAATAAATTCTTTAATTAACTCTTAATTAATATCTTTACTTAAAAAATTCGCAATGATAACATTTTTTGCTTTGATTTATTTGTGTGGAATCATTGTTATTCAAAAAGAAAATATAGGCTTATTCTCTGGCCAAGTCAAAAAAATATTTTCCCTTTGCGGGTAAAGAAAAAATATCAATCACTTTTAAGGTTGTAAATATATTTATAGTTTTAAACAAAACGGTATCTAAGGAAAAAAATTAAATTGTACAACTTATTTTTATATAAAATTTAAAATAAATTCCTAACTATGGAATTTGCAGATTATGATCTCATTTATTTGTATAATATTTATATACTTTGTATTACATTACACTATACAGTTTTTATTTTATTTTAGTAACAAACTTTCTCTTTTTTTATATTATAACAAAACGGTATAATTTTTAAAAAATAAAATATAATATAAACTTACAATTTTTTATGGACTCAGCAGGTAAAGATAATCGACATTTCTTATATTCGTATGGGATAAGCATGCTATATCTTATAAGACATTCTTTACTTTTTTTTGCTTCTATAATAAGCAATCTTTTTACTTCTGTAACATTTTTAAAAAAATCAAAACTTTCTAAAACATTTTTTCAGTCTATTTTCATGGCTCATGGTCCATCGATAAAATCTAGCACCAAGATCAAGCCTTTCATCAATACCGAGTTGTATGAATTAATGACTGGTAAATATGATTGCAAACAAAATATTCATGATATTATCTGAAATTCTTTCGATATTGATTATTGGACATTCTATTTATTAGAACTGATCAACATCCAACCAGAACCTAACAATGGTACAAGGGGAAGTTTACACCAAATTCTGAAATCTCCAAAAAAGTTGCCAATTCAGCTGGAACAGGACCCACCTGCTACTGGGCTTGTTCCAAGAGATAATCAAGATTATAAATTCCGAGTCGATGCGGCAGAGTGTTCTTGTAAACAGGTATTTTTTTTATTTTTTTTTGTAAGGCGTTAACCGAAACTTAAAGGAAGGTTGCTACCAGTGGATCAACAAAACGTTTTTTAATCATAAAATTCATAATATAAATATTGCTTTAATATTTATATTCATGTCTTTAAATAGGGGATGTAGCTATGAAATGTTAAATAAATATTTATTAAAGGAAATTCATTGTCCTTTTGCAATGGTAGAAGCTTTTCACCTTTATTAACCCCTTAACGATCGGTTAATTTCAAGAAAACGGTCATAAAAGTGCCTATTTTTTTTAATCTCTGAAAATTGATTGGTGCTGACATCTAGTTTAAAATAAACTAACTATCTACATTTATCCTGGTACTGCCATCTGGTGTGTAAATTGAGAAATGAAATGTTTTCCGGGCAAAAGAAATGAATTAGTTTTATTCTTATTGGCGCATTACTACTGAACACTCCAGCCCGGAAATATCACGGGAGTTAGAAATAGAGGGCGAAACCTCACCCCGTCATTTTCACGGGAGCGAGAAGGAATTAAGGTAGGGAATTTCTATAAATTTGTTGGAAGTTCATTTAATTTTTTACTAGAGTGTCACTTTAACACTATCCAGTAATATGTTTAAAAAATTATGAGTGTAATTCATCAAAGTAAAAGGAGTATAGAAAGCAACACAAATGGTAAAAAATGCATTGAAACATATTAATGGATGGAATGAATGGATGGGTCCGCCCTATGGGTATGAATGGGTCCGCCCTATAAACGGGTGCGACGTATGGTGTGGTAGAAGTCGAATTCTTGGTCATAGATGGCGCCACTGGAAAACAAGAACATTCGCACCCCATCTGCCTAAACAGGCATACGTCAACAACAGCAACAACAAACGTATTAATGATAGTTTGCATTATTCTCTGAATTATTCTCTAAATGCTACCCTGAAATCTGAAAGAGGAATTTTATTTAAACCGTAAAATAATCCACGAATCTACAAAATAACTTTGAATTTCGTTTATTAAAGGCAATTAAATGGTTTCTATGGTCGAGTCATCTGTCCATTCCTATAAACTCAGACTAGCTCATTCAAAGCAACTAGCAGTTGGTACGTAATAATTACGATAATTCGGTAATAATAAAGTAAACGGTGTAGCAAAAAGCGCATATTTTAGACTATACTTTAATTATTCTCCTTAGCAATTAAGACACTTAACGTAATATTGTTATCTATGATTTGTTTACATTGAAAAATGCGATAAAAAAGTACAAAATGTACTGGAACTTTTTTTAAACGTAAATGATAAGCAGAAACTCTTTGTCAAGATTTCGGTTTCTTAAAGTTCGAAAACTATAGCAAATAGTGCTAAGTTAGAGCCTGGTATCAAAAACAACGACAACAAAAAATGGTCATAACCTTAGGAAGGAACCAGAAGCTCTATTCTATTTCTGCATTTTAAGCGTTTACTGAAAATTATACATGAATATAGATATGTTTGTGTTTCACAACTATTAAAATTTGATCATTTGTAAACAGTTTTTCCTTGTGTATAACATAATTAGTGAGTTTATAATGTTTAATTAGGCTCGTAAACAAGTGGAGATTACTGATAAAGATTCCAAACGAGATCTTCATCTACCATTTGGTGTTCCATACAGCGCACAAGACAACAGAACGCTACTCATGATGTATAATGAAGAAAACATAATTGCATTTGATCTGAAATATAGATTACCTTCGTGGACATCATTCAATCTCGAGAAGAAGGTAACAACAATGTTCTGAGAGATGATAAATTTATATTATTGTACAGCTTTTCATAATTTAATTTTTAGAATTCGGAGATAAATTATAATCATTTAAAGTTACGATAAAAGCAAAAATGAATTTTTTAAAAATTAATTTCTAAAATAAAAATAGTGTGTAAATTTTGGATGAATGCAAATGCTTTAATATATTACTTTCCTAATATTTAAAATTTTTTTTAAATATTAAATAATACCTATTCTATTCCCTTAAAAAAGCTTTTAATCATGCTTTCGTTGAAGAGAAATAAATAAATAAAAACACCAAAGTCCTGCTGTACACGTCCGCAAGCAATACAGCACAGAAATAAAAAAAAATTTCCTTGTTCGTTTTACCCCAGAAATGAAAGAAACGTTCCTTATTCGTTTTACCCTATAAGTAAGAGAAACATTCGTTGTTCGTTTTACCCCAGAAATAAAAGAAGCGTTCCTTGATCGTTTTACCCCAGAAATAAAAGAAACGTTCCTCGTTCGTTTTACCCCAGAAATAAGAAAAACGTTCTTCGTTTGTTTTTCCCCAGAAATTGTCCCGTTCGTTGTTCGTCATATCACAGAAATGGCAAAGATAACTTTGTTTTCTGTAAGGCACGGAACACTAAAATAAAGAAATATGTGGAGCATTCTAAAAAACTTCAAATTATACTCATATTATTTAATTTAAAAAAATGATAATGTTAAATAGTGCATATTCTATTCAATTAACAAAAGTTTCAACCACTTGCGCTTGAAAGAAATCCTACGTACGTACAAAAAATACTTTTGTGTAAATGAAAAAAAACATTGACGTGCTATACACGTCGACAGGCAATTATCACCGGATTGAAATAGACGTTTGTAGTTCGTATTAGAGAAAGCGAATATGCTTTCAATATTAATAAGAATCAATATTAATAGAATCAATATTCAATATTAATCGAACAATAAACACCTTCCCGTGAGCTACAGTTGACTGTTTTTGTAAGCGCATCTGCAAATTTCTTGATTGCGCATTAATTATACTATAAATTAAATTATAAAGAATTAATTAATAAATTAATTAAATTAATTAAATTAATTAAATTAATTAAATTAAATTAATTAAATTAAATTAATTAAATTAATTAAATTATGAATTATATAGGAATTAAATTATAAAAAGAATTTCAGAGTATTCTATAAATTTTGCAGCAGTCCAAACAATTCTTTTGCGATTTGCTTACTTTATTTCCTAACCATGCAAACATCAGGTATCGTACCTGAATTTGTATCCTGTTTGAGAAGGATACCTTAATTAAAAAAAAATTTATCCATTAATTTAATTTATTTTAGGAGGAAGTTTCTAAGGTGGGTGATGTTTGCTTCACGGCTGATGCCAGAATACCAAATGCTGATACTGCAAAATGTAGTGATTATGACAACACAGTTGTGAAAAGGAAGTCAATTGTACAACGTCCTCTTTATCCCATCAGTTAGTATTCTAAAAACTTATCAGCTATACCACAAAGGATTAAAATATTTATAAGCCAAAAATATTAATCAAAAAGTTTTGTCAGTTAGAAAATGAATGAGATAAGAAAAAATTATCAACTTAAATGGTAGGATTTTCAGTCCTGCTAAAAGGATTAATTTTTTTCTAGCATTGCATAACTGCAAATGAAATGTTCCTATCCAGTTCGATATTTACCCCGACCCGACTATGTAGAGATCAGGAAACTGGCCTTGAATATGCAAGGTTCTGGGTTCGAATCCCGGGTAAGGCATGGATGTTCTTTCATTCTCTGTACTATCTCTCCCTGCTGTGGGAGTACCGTTTGCCCACAAAATATGGTGCCCCCGAGAGAGTGGCCAACAAATCTGCCCTGCAAAATGCCTGAGTTGACGAAATGTTAACACAGGTGGACATTGGAACATGGTGCGTAGCGTTTTTAAAAAGTGCTGAAAAGTGCGTATTTTCGATTTCCGTTTTTAAAAGCCCTTAAAAATGCTTTTTTAATGGACGTTTTTAAGAAGTGCTTAATTTTCCTTTTTCGAAAATGAGATTTATGAAAGTTAATATCTATTTTCGCCACGTATTATGTAAAAACGTGCTTTTCATATTTTTCTATTCAACGTTTTCAGAATTCATTCAACCTCGACCAATTTCAGCATACCGTCAGTCCTTAGCGCACGAAAGCGCCAATCATTTTACAGGTTTGGTGAAATACTTGCGAGTCCGCTTGTGCGTCTAGTGAGCTGGGTTCGGTAAGATTCTTGCACTCTCATGTGCAACTCTGCTGCATTTTGCAAGATATTCTCCATTTCAAGCTTCATTTTCCACCCTCTGAAATCGAACCGAAAAATCTCTTGATCATTTTTTAATGACTAATATAATCAAGAAAAGAGTTCTTTGTCAAATTCTAGTTATTTATCATGATCATGTAAAGTCTTTGAAAATTATTTTGCATTTTGTCAATTTACATTGTGCTTAAAAATATTTTTTGAGTGCTTAAAAAAATACTTAAAAGGTGCTTAATTTTTGTTAAAAGATTTGGCTACGCACCCTGTGACAGTAAAAAATGAAAAAAGTTCGATATTTAGAAATTAGATATTATTTGAAAGTTTCTACGGTTACTATTGTTAACTGCTGTTTTTAAAAGCACTGTACGCAGCATTATACTCAGAAAATAAGAAACCATGTATAAAAAATTGGATAATAGTTGAAGTTTCCTAAATGGTAAACTATATTTTAAAAGTTGTTGCTGATGCCGAAAAAGAAACAGTATGAAAGAAGCTAAGACTGAATAACTTTTAGTCACTGATAGTTTATACTTAAGATTATTGCTTAAGACAGCTAGAAAGAAAAAGATCAAAAGCAATTTTGTTGTAGAGCGATAAAAGAAATTTTTCGATAAAAGAGCATAGTGACAATATTTAAGTTTACCATTTACGTAAATAAGTTATTCAAGTACTATAATGAAATACCGAGTTTTATCTTTCTTCTCTTTATAGCATAGCATACTTCATACTATGATATTTGAAGAATCGTTCTCTAGTTTTCGAAGTAAAACTCATTCTTTATGTGTTCAGGAGTTGAGAAGTAGATTATGAGCAGACTTTGCTCCAAGGAACTTCAACAAGGAAACTTTCAGTTAACAATTTTCTCCAGAACTGCCTGACCGAGTAGCTTTTTTAATTTTTAAACAAAAAGTGATACATTTATTTCTGTAGTTTATATCAGTATTGTGTAAAAGTTTTTATTTATAAATATTATTTTACATGTCCTGAAGTGATTTTTCCCCAGGGTGTCTGCAACTGCCTAGAGAATTTTATTATCTTTTAAAATGTAACATAAAAATTGGTTTTGGATGACTGCTGACAAGAAAACACGCCGTTTACCTGTAGCTTTGACAATTTTTTTTTTTGTGTTGCTAGAGTTAAATAAAATTTCTTTGATTTTCCTCATGGATACCAAATTTTTCTCATTTTTGCCAAGTAACAAATTTCTCTGAAAAGAAAGTGTTCCTAAGTACCGATGAGTGTCTCCTTATAATTGCTAAGTATTTTTTTTCTTTTTTTTTTGACCAAAGGATGTCCACAACTGGCACATTCACATAATTTTAACGATTTTTATAACAATCATTACGTAAAATTATCAATAAATTCTAAAAAAAAAAAAGAATCTTTTATACCTATAATATACAATACATATATGACTAAAGATTGTAATTCATCCCATAAACTTTTATTGATTATTATTTTAGTTTCCCAAAAAAATGGAAGCAATACTAACTAATTTTAATATTTACATTTTACAGGTTTTTCAAAATCTGCAACAAAGGAACAAGCTTTATATGTTTCGAATTCTATTCCAAAGTCAATGAATCACACAAATTCTCTGGAAACAGAAATCAACCGAATACTTAATCGGTGGGCTGCCCAAAGCGGCTCTTTGAATGTAGTGATGGGTGCTGCTTTTGATTTATCTGCAAATGGTCTGAAGCAATCTCTTGGAAAGATAATGTAAGCTTTGCTTTATCACTCAAGCTTTACTTATAGGCCACTCCGAAAATTGATAAACATGACTTTCTAAATGATTTCGAAATTATCGTCTGCAGTACCGAACAACAACAAAAAGTTTTTTTTTGGTGACTGATTATTTGCGGTAAATAAAAGGTTTAAAAGGCGCACCTAAAGCATGTTATTACGTTATTTTACTTCTTTGACTGGTTTAAAAACTGAAATCTTTAAAATATGTAATTCGTATAACTGTGTAGAATTTTCGGAATTATGCGGTTTACTTTAATACTACTGAGTTTTTTTAAAAACCCAATGGATAAATTAAAAGTATTTCACCGCATTCATTAACAGAATTTGAGAATTAAGATACTGGAGTTTCTTGCCAAGAGGCCGGATTTGGACCATGAGAAAAACATAATTGTTGGAGGAGTTAAAGATGTATATAAATCCATTTCTGAACTAAAATTGGTAATCACGGCAAAAAATGTCCATTTTCTACTTGCAAAAATATTTCTAAATCATCTTTTTGAAGTTATTCGACTGAAAGGCGAAATGGCATATTACTAAAACTATGATGCAACAGCATTTCAGAATCTTTTTCGTTTTATATCGTAAAAGAGGATAGAGCGCTCGCCTTCGAACCAGGTGAACTGGGTTCGAATCCCATCTATAGCTGGTTGATACGAATTCCAGATCCGGCTTACACCGACCACAGTGCTGACGTAAAATATCCTCAGTGGTAGACGGATCATGGGTTAGAGTCCCCTTGCCGTCAGGCTAACCGTGAAATGTTCTCGTGGTCTTTCTATGTAACGCAAATGCGGGTTTGTTCCATCAAAAAGTCCTCCATGAATTCAAATTTCTCCCAATCCAGGAGTTCCCTTGTAATCTGGATTGAGTTCAAAATTACAAGGCTACCACGTTGAACATAAGTAGTCTTAACCCAAACATTGGGTCGGCTGTTCAACGAAGGTTATAAAACATTTGTATTGGATCAAATTTAAAAATTATGAATTAATAATGTAAAAAAATATATATTTTATATTGATGTCACTTAAAATTTCTAATTTCTGAAACAATGACGGTTAACAATGGTTTTAATTAAATTTATTTTTAAAATTTTGCATTTGCAAATTTTTTTCATATTTTATATTTATTCATATTTTATATTTCATATTTATTGTATATGTACTGTCATATCTATTACCTATCGTAATTATTCGAATTTATTGCGTGTCGTAATTATTGTATATCTTGTAAATTATTGCCTATCTTAATCGTAATTATTGTATATCTTGCAAATTATTGCCTATCTTAATCGTAATTATTGTTTCTTGTCAAATGAGTTGGACTAGAATGAAGTGAATGTCTCTAACTTCGTCTAAATTGTAAATTCATATATGAATACTTTATACGACTAAGTAATGACTTCATTATTTCTTTTCCTTTTCACTTTACAGAAGGTTAAAAGAAAAGTATGGATCATTAGTTGTACCAACTCACATTTTTGTAATAGCAACTTGGTGTACTACCTCTTCTGACTCTCTGAAAAATTGCCCTCCATCGAAATTGGACAGTAAAGGATTTTTGCTACCAAATGACCCATTTACTCAGAATTGTGAAGTAATGTTTCAGTTTTTTATATAAAATAATTTAATTTTTTAACATTTATTTAACTAACAATGTAGTTACTTGATTTTAATTTTAAAAAAAAAGGGATATATAGCTATTTTTTGTTCTTTAGTACGTTGACCGAAGGGAACAGCGTACCTTCTTTAGTTTTACCTCGTCTTCTCTTTTTCTCGTACTAAAGTTTGAAGATTATATATTTAACAAAAAATTCTCTAAGTCTTTTTATCCTAAAAGTATAATAAGACCCACGTATCATATTTAGTTTATAGCAAAAATTCTTTAAAGACATGAAATCTCTGTCTTAGTACTGGACATAAATTTCTGAGTGATATTAATTTTTTATTCGTGCATAAAGAATAGTTTCAAAAACGCGGCAAATTGTCCTGAGTACGTGAAGAAAGGACGGGGCAACGCGTTCTTATGACACGGGCGAATTGATGAAATATAATTAACGCACTACCAATGATTATTGTATTAATTAGCGCACTTTATTTAAATAAGATTTCATTGGAAAACACTGACCATTTCTAACTGCTGCCGTACCTACTCAGCTTAATTATCTCTTTCCACATTCTCGCCTTTATTCCTTTCTTATTCTTTAAATTTACACCTCTTCCAAGAGTAAGCATTAACTACGGTTACTTTATGAGGCAACATTTATTCCATCTGAATTAAGTAAATTGAAAATTAAATAAGTAATCGTGTCTAGGCTTTTTGTTTTGAGAAAACGTCGAAAAGTTTTTGATACCTTATTTCATTCATAATTTTGTCAATTCGAAAAAAGTAGCATTTACTTTTAAGAAAATTTTCTCAAATGTGCATATTGTCGAATTGAGTAAAAAGAATAATAAAAAGAAACTTTTTTTTCTTCAAAGAAACACTTACAGCTCTGTTCCATTTTAAGTATAAAAAATCTAAGTACTAAGTAATTAAGTACTTTTTAAAAATCCATTGTTTTATTAAATATAAAAATCTTAATATTTTTACCCGATTACTATTTCAAAATGATTAACAATAATTAATTAGCTTTTACCTTCAAGCAACTCTGATGCAAGCATTGGTTTTGGCAGAATTACTCCAGGGATCTCTCCAGACATTTTGTGAATGGTCCTGTTTTTGTGAAATTGTGAAAAAACTATTCATAATTTGTGAATATAAAATAAGCGTCGCATTCTTTCAACCAGGGTCCTGCTTTTGTGAATTTGTGCAAATAGGGTCCTGTTATTACAAAAATTGCCAAAAGCCTTTTCAGGAAGTTTTTAAATTGTAAATAGATACAAGATTCAGCTCAACAATTGCTGCTACTAAATTAGAGATGCAACTGCAACATACAAGTATTTGGTATTTAGCCTAAACACACACAGAATATTCATTTCGGACGAATAAGGGAACAAAATATTTCACATTTTTAATAATTTCAATTGGCATAGTTTAAATGACACAACTTAGTAATGCAATTTTAATGTGCTACGCATTAAGTAAACTTAAATAATTCTTAAATTTATAATATTTTATTTAAGAAATTGCCAAAAATTAATTTTTATTTGCATAATATTCTATTAATTATTTTTATGAATAAAAATAAATTGATCAATTATTTATGTACAGAAAATATTAATAAGAATGCACACACGATGTTTGTAAAAGTAGAAATATTTTCTTAGAATACTACATTTGGAATTTAAACTTAGGGAAACTTAGTTTGTCTTGAACCGTCTTTCTTCCCCCCCCCCGGGGAAGGAGTTAATTCGATTAACAAAACAATAATGAAGATAAACAAATTTGTGAAGGTTCCACTTAATAGATAAATTATTTTGTGAAGGGTCTGTTTTTATGAAACAGATATTTTGTGAAGGGTTCGTTAACGGAGCCAAATATTTTCTAAACAGACCCCTGTACACTGAAGCTTTTTTTTTTTAAGAAAATAAATTAAGAAAAATTACTTTTGAAAGGGAATTAAATGCGAGTTTCGTTCATATCTTTTTTATTTGACTATGAAAGATAAAAAATATTATTTTTTTAATTAAAGACACTACTATGTTTGATCATTTAGATTATTTACCACTTAAATGTGTACATAATTATTTATCTACCGCAAAACCTATAAAAATGTTATTGATATTTTTTTTCTTTTAGTCTCCAAGTGCCATGATCGAGAAGAATTCAGCTCGAGTTGTGGATATTGAAAATTTGACTGGACTCTCATTTTTCACAGGTTTGCCAGTTTATGATGCCGTCAGATTGAGAACTGGAATGCCACAAAGATCTGTCTCTTAACCATCATATTATTTTGAATCCATGTAAAAATGATGAAAATTCTATTAAATTTTATTATTGTTTTATTTGTATTTGTTTTACCCATACCATCATACTTTATTTCGTTTTATCGTTTCGATGAGAATTTCTTTCCGAGCCGTTCGGAAATGCATTAGTTGGCTTTCAATCTACACTATCTACCAATATGTACACGTGTGATTGAAAAGAAAAACTAACTTTATTCATAATCAATAGTTGGTAGAGCCTCTAATTACAATTACAGCGTAAACCCTCGGGCATACTTTCCACAAGTCCTTGTGTAACGGCTAGTGGTATTTTCTTCCACTCGCCTTGGAGAAGACATATAAGTTCCTTCACCGATTTTGGACGGGTAGTACATCCCTTAATTCGGCGATCCAACTCGTCCCAGAGGTTCTCGATAGGGTTCAGGTCTGGGCTCTGGGCAGGCCAGTTCATTGGATTAACCCCATTTTCACCATACCAAGCCTTGGTGACCCCCCGCAACATGACAGCAGACATTGTCGTCCTGGAAGTAACAGGGGTCCACCCCGTAAAACTGCCACAATGTAGGAATCACATTGTCATCCAAAATAGTGAAGTAGGCATCTTGCATGAGTTGTTGTAGTTCATTTACGTCGCACTAGAGCTGCACCATGGGCTGTAGGCGACGGTCTGGGAAACATCCCTGAGGATGATCCGAAGACATGTTATCACAATTTTGATCCTCTGCAGAGGGGATGGCTCCCCTGCTTCTCTAGCCCGACGACCTGCACGTGAAGTCGAGCACTTTACGGTTGAACAGTTTAACGAGGACTAATACTGCACACCCTCGCTCCCTACGCGGACTGATCCAAGTGGTCACTCACCCGCACACTGACTGGAGCCAGTGATACTTGACTTCGGTGATCTGCTGGGAACCGTGTCTTAACGATCAGTCCACTGCGGGACGCGTCTTGAATGGGACTAATGCCGATGTTGTTACCTACACGATATATACCGGCTCCAGGGCATAACGTATCTCAGGACCGTAGATATAGTCATTTGCATGGGTGTCCAAATTCTAATTGGTAGATAGTGTATTTGACAAATACCATAGTAAATTTGCCTCACAGTATTATATACTCTGATTCTTGGACATACTTTAAAGCTAGAATAAAACTTCAAAAAAATTACAAAACAAAACTATATTATAAGTTTTGTCGATTAAATTTTTGTTCCCACAGTTAATTTTCAGTCCTTAAAGTTCACACCTACTAAGAAGTGTCTGGTGATATGATTTTTCTTAAGTTTTTAGAGCTGGATATCATTTTGTAAGAAAAACCTTAAGTGACCCCACGTTTGATATGTTATTGGGTAATGAAATGAATTTTTTATGAGTCTTTTTCATAAAATTTTTACTAATCTTATTTTTCATTTCGATCATTTTTTCAATTGAATATAGGCATAGGAAATGCATTCTTAAATTTCTTAGCCAATCACAAGACTTCATAAAAAGAAAAATCCGTTTTTTTTTCTTCCTTTTTCTTCTATTTACTTTTTTGAATTTTTCCATTTGAATTAAACCATAGAAAATAGATTCTTAGTTTTAGTGTCAAACCTAGAAATAATAATGATGTAACGGATAGCTAATTTTCTATAAGCGTATTTAAAAGTTTCGATAGTGTATTTTTTTAAAAATAAATATCGAAATTTTTGAACTTTTTTCAATGGAATAAAACCATTGAAAATAGATTCTAAGTTTTAGAGCTTGACCCAAACTCAAAACTTCAAGAAAAAGTAGATTATTTGTTTATTTTTTTCCATTTGTTTTTCCGAATTTTTTCATTTATCGACGAAATAAAAATATTTGAGCAAAGGTTGAAGGTTTGGAATCAAAAATATCAAAACTGTTTATATATATATATATATATATATATATATATAGAGATATAGATATAGATATATATATA